AGTTTTTTGGGCTGTCTGTTGCCTTGACGAACGCTGCAAATTGCGTGGCCTCAGGGTCGAGACAATTGCCCGACATGGCCAAACTGTGAGCATCAAGGCAAATGAGAGGCAGACAGACGCGGGGATAGCAAGAGCTTGGAGTGGAAGAGTGGAAGACAGCGGGCACCGTCAGCCAGCCAATTTTATCAATTTCTTGTATTTTGTAGGGAATGCAAATTAAATGCAAATAGCAAATTGCTTGAGGACTTAGACATGGCTTACAGTTCAATGTTAGAATGTTAACTAACAAATGACAAAACAGAATTCGAACACTTGGCGCCTGCTGCTCTCATTAGTCATACACTCAAAGTGCTGATGACCGAATATCGAGCCAAATAAATATGTAACAGAAATTGCATGATAACAGCGAAGAACAACTGGTCGCCTTGAAAATGCTCTGCTATAATGCCAAAAGCAAAATGACTAACACAAACTAAAATAAGTTCATAATAAACATATAAAATAGCTCTAGTCGGGACTGCTCGACTACAAGATCCCCTGAACCCTTCTGCTTTTAAAAATTTTTATAAAATACATATAAATCAACATTTAAGATTTAGTGATTCTAGCTCGAAATGTCTAGGAGATATCCATTTTTTTAGCGCCGTAAATATACATATGTTTGTACGTAAATGTGTATACGCATGTATGCTTATATGTATGTATATGTACATATGTGTATGTTTTATATTGGGCTACGTGCTTTGATTCACGTCTATCACTGATAGGCTTTCGAGACGCCTCGCGCGTCTCGCTAATTATACGCATGGCAATATGAGTTGGTGTGGGTGCTCCAGATAAAGAAAGTAAAGCAACACTCAGACAATTGTATACGCTTAAATTGTAGTTGTATATACATACAGAGGTGGTCAAAAATATTTACACAACGAGCATTTTTTTACATGCTCTGCTTAAAGAGCTTTGTTTTGTTGTTTTCGTTCGCCGTTTTTGAAAAAAATCTTTTGTGACATAAAGCCTATTCTATGTAGAAGCGATCGGCTAAAGAAATTGCTAAAATAACGGTACATGCTAATAAATAGAGCGAAAAGAAGAATTACTTA